GGAGGCTCTATTCGCACGGGTCGCCGCCCTGCCTGAATGTTAAGATGATGCAGATGAAAAAAAATGCACCCTCAGACACAACAGACAGAGTGAACAGGCGATCAGCTGCTCAATACGTCAATGCACCAAGTCCCTTTGTAAAAGGAAACTAGGAAACGTATTGCACAGCCTTGAATATGAACACCCCAACATGCAGAGGAGAGAGACAGACGGAGAGCCCCACACAGCCAGAAGAAATGAGTTACTCTTCAATAGACTTTCACCTCCCACCTTCAGAAATACTAAAGATTTATACAGCGGTAAAAATCCATCTGCACGCTGGTGCCAAGTGCCAGCGCAGAACTGCTGATCAACGGAGCGCCACAGCAGCAGAGATTTTAGCCCACTACAACGGGTCTGTCTGCAAGCGGAGACAGTGAGCTGCAATGCAGGCAGCGGGTCGGAGATCCCTTTGTGCTAATAAGACACCCGCAGAAGCCCCCCCAAAAAGGTGGATGGAGTGTAAATGAAAGATGCACTGTATACAACATGCAAAGACAACTACAGACATGTACCTGCAGGGGAAGAAGGGAAGAGAAAACTACAGTAGATATAGGGGGACCCAGACAGCAAATGTGAAAAAAATCGGGACGGGGGTGGGGGGGTAATAGGAGCCTATATAAGAAAAAGACCCAAAAATTGGGACTGTCCCTATATAATCAGGACATCTGGTCACCCTAAGTAGATAGCCAGTTACCCCACAGAGACAGACACCCCTCTGCTGTCCTGCACTCCCCAAAGGGGGCCAGGCTTAGTTCATGCAGTTGCCTCTCAGTTCTGCAGCAAAAGGGTGGATTCTGGTGCTAATACCAAGGCCCCGGAATCAGGGAGCACGTGGGGTCCTGGTAACAGCACATAAGGAAGGGGAGTGTTTGACAAGTTGGTATCAGGCCGGATTCTGTGCTCACTTACCCCAATATTAGACCAGTGTCGCTCCATTGGAAACACGTCTATTCACACTGGTGTGGAACACAGCGGGACCAAGCCCAACTGTGTGTATTTCAAAATTGGTGTCCAGAACCAGATATTACAGTATTGGAAAGTCTGTTTCGGGGACAACTGAACACAGGGGTGGCCCGGAGGGCCAAATGGGACTCGGGAAGTCCTGGTGTATGATCGACACCTGCTGCCTGCCAGTAACTGCTGGGTTCTATTGCAGGCGAGTTCAAAAAACAAGCAATTTCTAGAGAATTATAAAGGAAAATACAGATCAGATCACAGAGGTCACCCCGCGGGGCTACTAGCATGGCCAACCATTGCAGAATGATTCTGAAATAAAGACTATAACCTCATTTTACAAGGCAGGAGATCAGCGAACACAAACTCAACCCTGCAGATCTCTTGTGGCTGTTTATTCTGAACCTGCAATTCGTTGCTTTTGAGTTTAGGTCACAGCACGATGCTGGTCTGAAGAAGCATGTCAACTCCAACTGGTGATGATCTGAGCTTGATTTCAGAGATTAGAGAAAGACTTGAGATCTGCCCTTCTGCAGGGAATTAACCGATGCACCAAGTCAATTCCATGCCTGTACCACGGGGGCTGGAGGGGGTAAACACTGCCCAGAAAGTCTGGCATCAGATGTCAAACTTTCTTCAAGTCCTTCTTCTGGGTAGCATGCAGAGCCCCGTTAGCAGCCACTTATGTATATAACATCAGGCAGAGCTTTGGGATGACTTGTCAGTCATGGTGGCTCATGCATAGCAGGCTTTTTCCAACTTTTTCACTTCTTAGGAGCACCTCTCTGCCTCCTCTTCCCCAGAGGATGAAAGCCAAACTGAACTTCCCACTGCACCGTGTTGTTAAGACACATTCGTCAATCTTGGCTTTGTTCCTGAGACAAAGAGACTGAATCTCTCCATTATTTCAAAGAGTGATCCCTTCTGCACTCTTCCAGCACTTGCCATCTCTAATCAAAGCCGCTGTCTAGTCTTAGCAACTGCTCTGCTACCAAAGGGATAGGTTTGTAAACAACGCAAGCCCCAGACATGGCAGTACATAAAAGATAGACGGAGAAAGAGAATATAGAATCCAGTCAGCTGGCTGAGCCAAAAAAATTGCAACATCAAGGGAAAAAATGAAATACGGTTTCTCTTCCTTAAATAGGTCCCATTCTATATTGCCCCAGAAAGAGATGCTAATCTGAGCCCTATAACAAGGTAATAATTGGTACCTGGGGGGGAATCTTACAACCATAGAACCACAGAAATGTAGGACTGGAAGGGACCTCAATACACCATCTAGTCCAGTCCCCTGCATTGAGGCAGGACCACGTATTATCTAGACCATCTCTGACAGGTATTTATCGAATGTGTTCTTATAAACCTCCAATGACAGATTCCACAACCTCCCTAGGCAACTTATTCCAGGGCTTAACCACCCTGACAATCAGGAAGTTTTTCCTAATGTCCAACCTAAACCTCCCTTGCTGCAGTTTAAGCCCATTGCTTCTTGTCCTGTCCTCAGAGGTTAAAGGAGAACAATTTATCACACTTCTCTTTATAACAACCTTTTACGCTCTTGAAGACTTATCACATCCCCTCTCAGTCTTCTCTTCTCCAGTCTAAACAAATCCAATTTTTTACATCTTCCCTCATAGGTTTCCTGGACCTTTTATCGTTTTTGTTGCTCTCCTCTGGACTCTCTCCAATTTGTCCACAACTTTCCTGAAATGTGGCGCCCAGAACTGGACACAGTACCCCAGTTGAGGTCTTATCAGTGCTGAGCAGAGTGGAAGAATTACTTCTTGCATCTTGCTTACAACCCTCCTGCTAATACAATGGTTATGTGAAAAGCAAATTGTGGGCCTAAGTCGCCTCCTCTTCCATGTATCTTGCCTCCTCATTGCTACCAGTGCGAAGAGAGCATAAAATACTCCCTGTGCTCCTCCCTTACACTGGTGGCAGCTGTATATACCAGTCGCTCTCAACCTTTTGTACTGGTGCGCCCTTTCACATAGCAAGCCTCTGAGTGTGACCCCCCTCCCCTTATAAATTAAAAACACTTTTTTATATATTTAACACCATTATAAATGCTGGAGGCAAAGCGGGGTTTGGGGTGGAAGTTGACAGCTCGCAACCCCCCATGTAATAACCTCACAACCCCCTGGGGGGTCCCGACCCCCAGTTTGAGAACCCCTGGTATATACGCACTTTGCAAAGTGGTGGATGGTTACCTAATAGCCAGGAGGCGGAGAAGCTGTCCCTATGGCTTTATTAAGCAGTGATTTTGATGACCATTTACATATATAGTGGACAGGCGAAGGGGCAGTGTGGTTTGGTGTGATTCATGAGGAATGTACCACAGGAGCCAGGGGTACAGTCTGATGGAACTCCGTCTGCACAGAGGCGCATGGGAAAAGGAACAGGCTCGACAGAGACAGTCGGACTTTGGGCCCCATGAACAATTAAAGAATTAGAAAATGCCTTAAAGTGATTGAACTCCTTGAGTCTATCGATTTAGCTTAACAAAGAGACGGTCAAGTCTAGAAGTACATACACGGGGAACAGAAATTTGATAACAGAGGGTTCTTTAAGAGGCATAACAAGATCTAATGGCTGGAAGTTGAAGCTTCAGACTAGAAATAAGGTGCGCATTTTTAACAGTGAGGGTAATTAACCATTGCAACAACTGGGGGATTCTCCATCACCGGCATTTTTTTAAAACCAGGATTGTATGTTTTTCTAAAACACAATTCAAACAGGGATTAATTCAGGGCAGTTCTCTGGCCAGTGTTACGCAGGAGGGCAGACTGGAGGATCCCAACGGTCCCGTCTGACCTTGGACCCTATGAAGGCCACAAGTGCCCGTGATTCAGGACAAACCAGGAATGAGGAGACTCAGTTTTCATTTAAAAAAATAAAAAAAGGTTACTTGTAGCCCTTTTCCCTGAGCAGAGTCTTGGAAAAAGTAACTGATAGAAACAGGTCACCAGGGCTAAAAGCAACAAGCCAGCAGGGCTCCGCTCCTGCAGCGAGACATGGGGTGGGGAAGGTTCTAAAGGCTCAGACACTTGGTATGTAAAATGAATCCGTTAAGAGCCTGTGGTGTAACCCAGCATCAAATCACCCACCAACCCACAAACTCCTCGAGCCTGTCCAAGCACAGTGCTCTAGCAATGGTGGGCAGGAATCAGATGTGTTTTGCAGTCCTGGCCCTCACGGCTATGGATGACTTTGGATAAGCAGCAGCTGTTGTAAGCCTCTTACAGCTTCTAGCTACTACAGGGAGAGGTGCTTTGGAAATCCATAGGCATGGATGAATGGGTACTTTCAGCTTGGTGCAACTCCATGCTCCGGGGCTGGAGCCCCCACGGGAAAAAATTGGTGGGTGCTCAGCACCCACTGGCAGCTCCCCACCCCGCCCCCCCTGCTCCAGCTCACCTCCGCCTCCTCCCCTGAGCGCGCCGCGTGCCCGTTTTTTCCCCCGTAGCTCCCAGCGCTTGTGCCGCAAAACAGCCGTTTCGCATGGCTGGGAGGGAGGAGGGGGAATGCAGCGCGCTCAGAGAAGAGGCGGGCCGGGGCAGGGATTTGGGGAAGGGGTCCAATAGGGGCAGGGAGGGGGCGGAGTTGGGGCAGGGACTTTAGGGACGAGGTTGGGATGGGGGCGGGGCAGGGAAAGGGTGGAGTCAGGGCGGGGGGGGGGTGCAAGCTCCCACCGGCGCCAGGGAAAGTTGGCGCCTATGCACAGTAGTGCAATTCCTGGTCTCACACCACGTGTAGGTTCACAGGTGACAAGATGCCATCGTCTAGGTGTAACCTGATGTGTGTGTAGCTGCCCGGGCAATGGAGAACATAGTAGTTTGAGTGTCCCCCAGGACATATGTCTATTTCAGTGCTCAGTATGCCGATGCATCCCATTAGCTTCATTCAGTCTTTGCCTGGACCTTCTCCAGTATGTTTTGGGCACTCACTCTTTATGCACATGGCGTAATTATCGCTGCGAATCAGTGTCATGCTGTCTCTTACCCATATCGGTGCCTGCCCACATCTCGGATCAGCCTCTCCGAAAGGTACGCACCGATGCGGTCCAGCTTCTCCGGCGCAGACAGTGCGTAGAAGGTCAGCTTCTCCATGTTGGTTTTTACCAGCCCATCCTGGAAAAGAGACCGACACGGGGTTTGATCTCCTTTGCATTTTAAAAAGCAACTCCCAAGGTACGGCACAGGGAAGGGGCTATGGAGCTTTCGGCCTCCAGGTTGAAATCGAGAGCACTGGAAGTCACGCGAACTGCCACACTGGGTCAGACCAAGGGTCTAATTAGTCAATTAGCGTCTCATATCTCGGACGCTGGCCAGATTCTTGATGATTCAGAGGAAGGTGCCAGAAACCCCACATTCAGCTGTCAGTATCCGTTAGCATTGAGGCATCTGCTGGCCAGCGGCCTATGTGAAATGAGTGGAGGAGTCACTGCGGTTCCCAGCACGCACTTCACAGCAGCACAAGCTGGCAGCCTCAGGCCAGAGTCAAAGGACTGGCTAGACGAAGGCTGAACTAGCTGCACAGTTCAGGGTCGCGCCTGAAGCACACTGGTGAGGAACTGGTGGCTGCGGAACCTGGGCTGGGAATAAACAGAGACCTCTGCCTCCGGGGCTGACAACCCGCCAGCTTGCATCAGCATTCAATTCACTTCCCTCTATTTAAAGAAACGCAGCCCGTCTGTTAGATATCACCTCTGCTGTTGCCCCTTTTGTGCCCAAGCTTTATCTCCAGCTGTGGCAAACCACACACATTTTGCTACTCGGTGCTCAGCTCAGGTCACCCATTCAGGTGGTGTATGTTGGGCACTTGGAGCTCCTCAGATGGGAGATGCTGTAGAAATGCAAAGTCTCACCACTTCACCGTCTGCCGAAGAGGATCTTTAGAACCAAGTGATCTTCAGCAACAAAGGTGGAAGATACGAGGCCTGGTTCTGCCTTGTACCTTGTGTAGTTTACACCTGCTGGGGTTGCATGAGCAGCCTGGGATACTTACCTGCCTTTTCAGCATGAGTGTCAATCTCCCAGCTCTCTTTGAAGATGCTGTTGCCATCCTATTACGAGACCACCAGCCACGCATCCTAGGTTCAATTCCTACTCGCGTCTGGTGGTATTCGCATGCATGTGGTCACAATTAGTTACCCAGGGATGCTGCTAGCTTGCATCTTGTTCTCCCATCCATCCATGGCATTTATTATACATCTATTTTATAGACATCAACAGGAGAACATCTCTTTAGGGAAAAGAAAATTTCATCTGTTCCTCCAGACAAAATTATACTGTAACGTATTAAAGGAGCTGTTCCAGTTAGTTCTTCATTCTACCAGGGCACGAAGTTGTTGAGATAAAAAAACATCTCTTAGCGGGACGATGACAGCATCTTCAAAGAGAGCTGGGGGATTGACACTTTCACTGAGTGGGCAGGTAATTATCCCAGAAAGCTGCTTATGTGTCATGGAAAGCTTTGAAAAACAGTTTTCTTTAGAAATCATTCTGTTCCTATGTGAGATGTTTTCAACATTCTTCCTCCCTTATTCTGTACTGCCAAGGACTTCAGCATGAAAACAAGAGTCTTGAATCTGGAGACACTTCTGCCACTCCTGCTTCCCTGTTTATGTCCTCACGCATCCACCTGTGACATCAGCCACTGAATGACGTAGATGTCAAAGAAACAAGGTCGGGCAGGTAATATCTTTTATTGGACCAACTTTTGTGGATGAGAGAGACAAGCTTTGGAGCTTACACAGGGCTCTTCTCCAAGTCTGGGAAACAGACTCAGAGTGTCACAGCTAAACACAAGGAGGAACAGATGTCAAACAAAAACTTTATGTCATAATGTGGGAAATAAGCACCCAATGTGAGATGCTTTTTAACTTGGCAGTGATGTGGCTTCCCGGCTCTGTTGTCTACTGTTTAGGACAGTCCTGGGAGCCAGGAGTCCTAGGTGCCTTCTATTCACGGCTCTGCCACTGAGTGAGTTTGAGACAAGTCACTAGCAGCCAGTACTTCCAAATTAGGGGACAAATGGTGCCACGGACGTGCGAATGATTGCAATTAACTCAAGTTAACGAACGTGATCATAAACACTAGGCTAAACACTCCTCTAATGTTTGTGGCAGGACTCAGCCTGGGGTAAACCACACACACCTGTGTCTTGAAACAAATATTTGGGGAGCGTTTAGACTAGCATTTACAGCTGTGGTCATCACCTTGAGCTAACAGCAAATCTGGTTAAATCCTAGTCTAGACAAACCCAGAGCGGCCATTATAGCTCAGGTGGTAGGGGCGTGGGCTTTTGGTACCAACACAAAATGCTTCTAACAAAAATTAAGGGCATATTACAGAAAATGAAACCCTCCGTGTACGACCCAGAGAGCCTTAAAAGGTCACCTCTTCTACAACAGCATTTCCTGGAGTGCAGGTGAATATCACTGAATGACAGTGAGATCCTGCAATCCCACACACAGGAGAAATGTGAAAACTCTGGGACGGTTTCCAACAAGCAGGGGGCTGTTAAGTTATTGTGCTCGAAGTAAAACAGGAAGCTCATTTACCTCTGGATCCTCCGGAAAGATATTGTCAACTAGCCTCTTGTAACGGGGACGCAAGGCGCCACAGCAGCCGCACACACCTGGAAAAGAAAGGAAAAGCTATTCAGCAACGCAGCAGGGCCGTGGTCCTCCTCATTGCGTATCCTTCGTCAAGAGCCAACGATGTGCTGGGATCAGAGGAGAAGATTCCAGGGAGAGGCATGTTTGACAGAAAACTCGTACCCCGCTAACAAAAAAACCAACCACCACTCATAGCATTACTCAGCGACTGCAAGGGGCCACGAGTACCTGCACAGGGATGAATCACGAAGATTAACGCCACCACAAAATGTCATGACTGAGAAGACGAGGGAAACGCTGCCGTTTACCTACTGGATATGATCCTGCCTGACTGCATGGAGTTAAATCAAAGAAGGCCACTGGGGAAAAAACAAGCAGGTAACGAAACAATGACAGATATTGTACAGTGAGAGAGAATACCCAGGGTCTTTAAGGGAACGATGGGGGATCCATTAATTGGGATGCCCACCTGCCTGGCTCCAAACAGGCTAGCAGGTTAAATTTTCCCCAGGCCCAAGCTTAGGATCAAAGGGGCACTATAACATTAAAGCCCCTGGCCTAGAGAGGAATTGGGGGGTAGGGAGCAGTGGGCAGCAATAGCTGGAGATGAGTCTCTGACAGAGACACACTGGGAGAACATGGCTGGGGCAGTCGGTCTCTCCAAGGCCACGAGTCAGGTGTCTGGGCTGAGTGGAACTTACCCAACACTTGCAAAGAAAGACTAAAATTTTGGGAAGACCCAGAAGGACAGGCCTTTTGTTGGTCAATCCCTTTCCCCTGCTTGCTATGTACCTCTGGGTGAATAAACAAGGCTTGTCTTTAAAGAACATGTTTTTGAGTCGCTTTGATCAGCTGCTGCCACAGAACTCTGGCGGAAAACGTCTCACAGTTGTACACAAGGCAGATTCTGACTGTGGCAACAATGCAATCTGAGATCCTCTTACATTGTTAGGCACAGAAGGTTGCACTGGAGGTCACTCACAAAGCAATCTCCCTTCGGCTGGCAGGGATGCCTGTGATTTGACCAGGACCTGAATTCCATGAGCTGCATATTCGTTGCAATCAGCTGAAGTACTAAAGCTAAAAGCTACGGCCGCTTCAGCCAGGAAAACTGGGTGGGGGGTGGGGAGGACAAGTGCTGAGGCATTTGTGGTCCTAGCTAATGAAGCATTCTTCCTGGTAGAGAAGAGACAGGGCTCAGGTGTAATGATGACTGGACACAGGCTGTCCTCAGGTTCTCTCTGTCTCGCTTGCCCCTAAGTGACTCTCACAGCTCATGCCATCTGCTGTCATTACACAGAGCCCCTCCCACCCACCCCCCCAAATCCTGGCCTAGCCTCAGAAGAGATGCTGACTGTACAATAGTTCTTTGGTCCTGGAACTCACTTGGTCCGAGGGAGTCCGCATTTGTTGGTTTCCAGGGCACCCTGCAAGGGTTATGTATTCTCCCAGGCTTACCTGGGGAGGATGGGGGTTAAATGGGATTAGAGCTGGGAGAGATGGAGAATGCAGTTGGTGGTGGACTAGGAGGTGGATTTTGTGGGGGGGCGGGGGTAAAGGGAGGAGAAGAATCGATCCAGATTAAATTCAGTATGTGTTACAAGAGAAAATTACAGACACCTGCATGATCAGGGTCCAGTCCTATCACCCTGACTCACAGGAGTAAATTTTACTCATGCAAGTAACCCCACTGACCTCCGTGAAACCATAAACATTGCTCCTGTTTAGCAAGGGTGGCAAGAAGGGACTGTCACACGGGAGGCTTTGATAAGTAGAAATAAATATAAATTAATTCCCTCAATGCAGGCAATTTACAGGCACACTAGCAGGACACCATTTCGTAGGATTGCTGGGATTTTACTCGCTTAGAAAGGCATGTGCAACTAGTAGAACTCAATCTCTAAAGCTCATAGCCCAGATCCTCAGCTAGCTACACCGACCGTGACTCCACTGATGCCAATGAAGTTGTGCTGCCATGAAACCGACCCTGTCCATCAAGCCCAGAGTCTTCTCCCAGACAGTGGCCAGCCTAGATGCTTCAGAGGAAAGTACAATAAACCCTGCAACAGGCAGAGGTGCAATAATTTCCCCCCGCGGAGGTCTCATCCCAACCCCGACTAGTTAGAGATTAGCTTAAACCCTGAAGCATGAGGTTTTATCTCCCTTCTGGGCGTTCTTGTTCGCTATATAAACGCCCGATCCCAATCGAAGATACAGCCTAAAATACGCAGTATGAGTAGAACACCAACAGTGGCTTGTTCTTCCTTGCCAGTAAAAGCACTTCGCAAACGTTGAGTGCTATACAGAGAACGCTAACAGAACCGCGCTCAGCCCTCTCTCACTGGAGGTCTCTGATCTCCAGACCTTTGGTCTCTCCTCATTAAGTTTCCTGGGACAACACACGAGGCGTGACAAGTGGGCATCAGCAAAGGCAGCTGAATTCAGCTAGATGTTAGTTTGCAGCGTTTCTCAACATGCATCTTGCTGACTCACTCAGCTTGCTCATCCCGCTCGTGGGGACGGTCCCCTCCCCAGCCCCACCCCTGCCGGCCAATGCATGAGTGGCAGTGGAGAAGATTGCTCCGAAGAGCTCAGCGGTTCCCAACCTTCCTTGATTGGAGCTGCCTCTACTTGCAGCGGATGATGCCTCACCTGACGTCGCGTTGTGAATCAAAGCACTTGCTGCATCTCGCCTGGTTTTTCTGCCTTTCCCCCGCTCATCACCTGGCCCTCTTCTCATTTCTTTCTTTCCTCTGCATTTTCCCTTTTTGTCCTCTGGCGTCCATCCTTGGTTTAACTCCATTTTTTCCTCCCCATTCTTCTCTGGTTCCTCCCCAAAGCTACTCCGCTCTCTCCTTTCCCCCAGCGTTTCACACACACACACACACACACACACACACACACACACACACACACACACACACACACACACACACACACACAGTCTGTCCCTGTGCCATTGCCCCATATTTCCTCCCTCTCTTCCCCTACAGCTGCAACAAAGCCCCACCTTGGTCATCAACATGGTTTGAGTCTAAACCCTTCCAAGCTAAAAGCATGAGCTTCTATCCCTTCAGCTAAAGTAGTAACTCCATCAGCTGCTAGCTGTAGTAGACTCTTATCCACTCATGTGGACCAGCCATTAGAGGGGGAGAAAGATCCACATTCTTCTAGTGCAAGTCATGCAGCCATGGGGCAACTGCAGATTTACAAGTGTAAGGGAAATCAGAACCTGGGTGGGTGTTCTCAGCAAAGAGCATTACCTCCACGGCATGCAGTGAAAAGGCATAAGCCGAGGACTCCATTCACTCCCCACAGAGGTATTACCAATGCCACAGAAGAAAATGCACCCAGCCAGAAACGGAGCAAGCAACTAATTACATAGGGTTAAGTAAATCATTATTTACACAAAATGATGGGCAAGAGATGAAGTGCCAGATCACTGGGCCTAGCACCAAAATGCTGGTGTGTAATCAGATAGCCTCATCCAACAGGTGCCCACCCATATAAAAGAAGTCATCTGCTGTCCAACCATACTGGTCAGGAGTTTGGTGGGTCCCTTACTATTGACAGCATGTATTACAGAATCAGCGACAGATGGAACAGAATACAACCCATTGAAATAAGAGAGGGGATGGACCTATTAGTTCATCTAGTCCTTCCCCTCTCCACCCTCCCTGCCAACGTAGGACTCTTCCCTACAATATATTCTTGACCATCCAGAGGTCCCAATGGCAGGCTGACGGAAGGGTCTCTCAAAGAGATGAGTCATTACAATTTCACTAATGCATCAGTGCCAAAGGGACTCTGCACCAGATAGCTAATGCTGGCATGGATGATCAATTTCCTAAACAGAGGTCCAGTTAAACCGTACTGGGTCATCCCATAGAGTATTGTTGTCAAGTAGGAACCATCTAAAGAGACCACAAAATCTAATCAAGGAACCATCTAAGGAGACCGCAAAACCAAGCTCGTTTAAATCTTCTGACCTTCTGCTGTACCACAGGAAAGAGAGTAGACTTTAGTTACTCAGTCCCCTCTTCCCTGCCCCCTCTGAAAATAGATCTTAGCACAGAGAAAGACAAACAGCAACATTAATGCATCCCCACCTGACCTCTGTTTTGCAGCTTGCCTGTCAAAACATTTCTCTCTCTTTGTCTAAACACTGTACTCGAGTTGGTTGATAGTCATCACTCACATTCAGCTCTGTTCACTGAGTGATGAAGTTTCCATTGTTATTGCATACGGCCTGCTCTGCAGAGAAAACAGGTACCCAGTAGCCTCAACGCACACGACCCCTTCCACCCTTTTGTCTCTCCAAACAAGCCGCATGCAGGAACGCAAGGTCAGGAACAACCTAAGCAAATACTGGCACTACAGTGAATTAAGGAACAAATTCCCAAGGAAGATGTCCAACATCTTCACAAGAACACATTCAATCATTTCTGCAGAACGTGAGCAACTTGGTAGGTGTCACCAAAGAGAATTTTAAAAACACAAAGACCAATGTATTCACACACAAAACCTCACGGGTAGGAGATGAGATAGCTTGGGGTGAGGGAGAGAAGAAGCAGGTGGCACGGGACTATGGAACCTCTGTCTTCTAGGTCACTCATCCCAATCTGTTCCATATCAGTGGTAGCCAAATGTTACAATCTGATGGCTGTTTGGAAAGCGATGGAAGTTTGGGGGGGGGGGTGTCTCGGTCCAGATCTAGTGAAGAAGCATCCACATGGCAAGAAACAACACAGGAAAGAGTCGCCCCGATACTATGCTTTACAGACAACAATGAACCCTCACCACACACCTCAAGGTCGGTATTACTAAGAGAGGAAGGATGGGTCAGTGGTTAGAGTGCCTACCTGGGAGACCAAGTCCCTGCCCTTCCACAGACTTCATGTGGGACCTTGGGTGAGTCACTCAGTCTCTCTGTGCCAGTACAAGGGGGGACACTAGCACTGCCCTACCTCATAGGGGAGTTGAGAGGATAAACGCATTAAAGACTGTGAGGTGATCAGAC